TATCTGGTGCCCCAGACACCACCCCGCTTCGAAAAGATTGTGAAAAGGCGAAGACCCTTACTTCCTACCTGACAGAAATCTAATGTGTTACAGTAATCCCGGGAGGACCCCTCAATTTGCCCCTGTGCTGCAGCCGCCCCTTTGCGGGGTCGGCGGCAGCGGCGGCAGCCCTTAAATAATCAATCCTGGAACCCAGCGCTAAGTCCAGAACGCTCCAGCTGGAACCCCCCTTGGGTCGAACTTGTGTTCTCTCGGTGGCCTCAGCATTGAACTCGCCGGACGCTGCAAACACATAAGGATGTCATGCCATTGACCATCAGTGTCATCAGTGGTGGAAGCTTTTAAAAATCATGTACCCAGTGTACACGTGCGCTGAGCTCTCTCAGTTTTGAGCTGTTCTGCGCACTGGAAGTTAGCCGGTAGCTCGTGGTACCTCCAGGCCAGACAAGCGAACATTTCAACGCATCTACCCGCATCCACCATGTCATGTCTTTCCACCCGCGCTTCGAGGACAAACCTAGTGCTGAGACCCAATGTCAATGCTCCGAGTTCCGCGCCCGCACTTTGAAGGTACGTTGTTTGCGCTGGCTGACCACCTATTCACCCAATGCCGACAGTTGACAGAGATGTCTCAACGTTCTTTGTCACATCCTCAAGAGACAGTCAGCATCCAAACATATCCGAACCCACAGCCCGAAAGCTGAAGGCTTTCCACAGCTTGGCTCACCGCTGGGCGGCGGCGCCGCTGCATAGCTGTACGGCCTGGGGCCTTGGATTTTGAAAACTTTGCGGGAGAAAACGCTACTTGCGCCGGGGTTAACTCACATCACGCGCTGAGATAGCCGCTGAGAATACACATCATCTACTGCAGACGCTGGCATTGGAAAGACTACAAGTCAGCGGCATATTTACACATCAGAAAATGCTAACCCCAATGTGCACGCTAATTCCAGAGCAGCTTGACATGAGCGTGGATTTTCATGTCGTGCTGTGGACGCTGAGCCTTTGTGAAGAAAATTACCAGGTTTAATGCTCAAATTTCGCATGATTCCTCATGTAGACACTGGTTTCACAAAGGACCCAACATGCCGTCCGAAACGGTTTTCAGTATGAGGTCTAAGCTCGTAAATGAAATGTTTGTAGGATCGCTCAACTGGCGCGACGCAGCCATGATCACCCCACCGTGGCCCGTAAACATAAACGCAAGAAAAGGTAACTAGCCTTCCTGTGCTTGCAAACTGCATAGATGCGGCAAGATTTCCAATCGATTACTTCCGCAAGTGAGACACAGCAGAAAACATAGAGTGATACGGTACAAGCCTACTGCAGAAAGAGCTGCAACGAAAGAGCTGCAACCCTGTGCATGCAAAGAAACAGCACAACTGCAAGACTTGATGTTGCATACTGTCTAGTGGATTACATGCCTTCAAGAAGGGTTCCCCAGTGTGGACGCTGATGGACGTGAAAAAAAAAAGCCGACGTGAGACAACCCGACCTGTAGTAGCACTCTCGCGTCTTGAACGTGCTTGGCTGCCAACTTGGTCGCGCAAACAGGGTCTGATATGACGCCTGTGGCACACCTGATGGCACACCTCAGGAAAAGGAACGTGCCCAATCGGGGTCTACCAATGGCGGCCGTCTGTTGACTCATTGACTGTCTTTGCCAACTCGACTTCTGTATTGAAACATGAAAGCTCCGACAGCAAGTGACTTCAGTGAGTGCAGTACTGGTTGTCAGCGGCGGAACTGGCTCAGGTTGGAGACCTCGTAAATTGCTCACAACTAGCTTCGAAGCTCCGCGCGCATTTACCGGTACATCTGCACAAGGCATGTCCCGGACCTACGTCCAAAGCGAAAGGGCGGGCAAACAACTAGCTTTCACGTAACGTTATCATCAGCAGCTTGATCTTGCGCAATCATGTCATTCCAAGCCTACAAGCACAACTTCTGGCACGCAAAGACAACATCCCCATCCGTTCTCTTTGCATCAATGTATCTGAACCCATCTGAACCCTCTGACCATACCCCGTGCCCTTCCCAACCCACGATGTAAAACTACGGCCTTCGAGCTTGGGATAGGAGCTTGTCATCACGGATTGTGTCAGACGTTCTGCAGGCAGAGCAAGGAAGGTGTCTTAGGAAGAGCTCTACACTCTCGCGGATTGGTGTCCATCGACATCAGATCTGAACAGAACCTTCACCGAGTACACCTTGCAAAACATTCGCGTCGAGATGCGTCGAGCCTTCCGGGGACAGAGGCCTCCTTCCGGCAAGCACAGGTGAGTCAAACATGCATCCATAAGCAGCTGTGAAAGCAAGCAGAGGTTGCCTCGGCCTCCGGCCCGAGGCATCTGGATCAAATTGACCAGGGCTTGGTCATTTTCCCATATTTCCCCTCCCCTCCCGTCTCCGCCCCCACTATGCCCCCACCCCTGATTGCTGCATGTGCAGGTGTTGAAGCCAACGCCGTCTCTCATTGACACTGAGCCCAGAATATCCTGACAAAAAACACGGCTGAAACCTTGCAATCTCAAGGTGGTAGTGGTAAGGTTTTCGGTCTTCCTACATCGTGGCTTGGTTGTGGTACGGACCTGCTGACTGGTTGTAGAAGGGACGAGTTTTTCTGGGACGAGTCGCGCGCCCCCCCAACCCGTTCCCTCACTTCATTTACGAAGTGAATTGGACCACTATGCGAACAACACTTAGTTCGGACCTCTGACGCTGCTTGGAGCAAGGTTCATGCTTGATGGGCATCGTTTGCAGTATCATGCTGTCGACACTCGAGGTTTGCATTCTGGCATGGGCCAACGACAACCTGGTCAAAGCTGCGTGGAGAGCGCAGGTGCCAACTCATCGTGGGCATTACTGGGACACCAACTCAGCCAGGCATGGACAACTGGACAGAACACTGCTTCGCACGTTTCACATATTGCTGACTAAGCTGCTTTCTTGATGGGCCAGGGAGAAGAAACCAAAGACAGTACTACTAGCCCAAGTTGTTCTTGGCTGCGGATGCACCGCAACGACCCCATGGCTAATGAAGCCCTTGCCCTCAGATGACTGCTTCGATTGATTGCTGCTGTGGCATCGCGCGCATGCTGATATGGGCCAATAATGCAAGTCCCAACACAGAGGGCACTTGAAGCCATTCTTTTCTCACGACGGGATATTTGATGCGACTGTGTACAGTAGTGATGTTGGTGCCGGAATACAGCTCAGTCTCTCAAGGACATCCTCGTGTGCTCTAAGCCTCATTTATACTCGGAGCAGTGTGATGGGCGAAACGAGCGTATCAGGACGCACTGCCTGAAGAGGAGACCTGTGCAAGTTGTGACAAATCGCGGCGTGGGGCATTTACGTCATCAAATCTGCTGATGTGTTTTCTCAAGCATTCTGTGTTTAGGGGTGTAGGGGGTGCTGTGATAAAAACATGTTCCCCAGCATGTGTTTCGAAAGCATTCTCAGGCTACCAAATTCTGAGCTCAAATCACATAGGGACAATTTTCCCGAAAGCACCGCGAAGGGGTTCCTCGTCAAAAAGGTTGCTTTGCACACACCACAGCACCTACAACGCTCACATACACCACACCACAGCACTTACATCGCTCGCCTACACCGCACCACAGCACATACACCACTCACATACACCACACCACAGCACATACACCGCTCACATTCACCACACCACAGCACTTACATCGCCCGCCTACACCACACCACGGCACATACACCGCTCACATACACCACACCACAGCACCTACATCGCTTGCCTACATCAGACGCCACAATCTACACCTACAGCGCTCACTCACGCCGCACCACAGCACCTACATAGCTCACCTACACCACACCACTGTATTTACACCGCTCGCCTACACACCACAGCGCCTCTTCTATTTTTCTCTTGTTTCTAAAGCTGGGGTAGGTTTGGCTATAGTCGGGATGCACCCCTGCGTGTCGGAGCGTTCTCGCTGTGGCGCCGTGCGAATTTTAGAGTGGCTTCGCTAACCTTCTACGGGTTTCGTACGTGTCGAAACACTCTCGCTGCGGCGCCGTGCAAATTTTCCACGTCGTTCGCCAAGCCTCTGCTGGTTTCATGCGTGTCGAAGCGCTCTCGCTGTGGCGCCGTGCGAATTTTCAACGTCGTCAGCGAACCCTCTGCGGGGATCGCGCGTGTCGAAACGCTCTCGCTGTGGCGCCGTACGAATTTTCAACGTGGATTGCGAACCCTCTCGCTGTTTTCGGTGGGTGCCCGTGCTGGCGCGTGGAGCGTCCTGCGAATTCGGTTTGGAATCGGCGACTCTCTGACTGTTTTCCGCAGGTAGCAGCGCTGGCGCGTAGAGCGTTCTGCGAATCCTCTTTGAAGTCGACGGCCGTTTGGCGAGCGCTGGTGCCTGGAGTGTCCTCAGAATTCTTTTCGGAATCGACGACCCTCTTGTGGCTTTAGGTGGGTGACGGCGCTGGCGCATGGAGCGTCCTCAGAATTCTGTTAGGAACCGACGACTCATTGTTTTGGGCGGGTGGGAGCACTTGCGCGTGGAGCATCCTGAGATTTACGTTGGGAATCGACGACACCTTACACCACGGCACCTACACCGCTTGCATACACTGCTCGAAGTACCCCACAGCACCTACACCGTTCACATACACCAGGACAACTACACCGCGCACATACACCACAGCAACTACACCACACCAGTTCACCATGCCGCCTACACTGCCCACATACAGCACGGCACCTACACCGCCCACATACACCACAGCAATTACACCGCACTGCTACCGCGGCACCTAGAACAGGGCCAGATGCGCGTCCCTTGCTAACATCGAACTGCTTGCTTTCGGGATGATGGGGGTCCAGTTTTCTAGGGACGAGTTGCACAACGCTTACGTCTTCCCTCTACTCCAGTCCCTCCGTGCAGTCTACTTGCCTAGCACCAGGGCAAATCTCGTCCCGGCTGTGAGCCTTCCTGCAAGCCCGGATGCTGAGGCGGACGTGCGAAGCTGTTGGCAAATACAGCCACCACCTGCCGCATGTCTACCCTCATGCAGGCCTGCCGCCGTTGCTGCTGGTGGCAGCTGCACGCTGACCTGCACTTGCTTGAAGCCATAGACTCGGCGCGTTCACCCACTAGCTCAAGCTCTTGTTGAAGATTGAAGATTCAAATTGATACACTTCTGGATGCATTGCCTACGTGCTCTGTTTGTGTGCCAGGCTCTCCCTCTGCTTCCTCCGTCTGAGCAGCCGCACTTGGGCTCAGCACCCACGGAGCCGCGCTGTCCAGCTGTGACAGCTGGTTGGGCTCCAGATCTGAGGTGCACGGGCACACTGGCAGGCTTGAAGTGACTTGCTCAGGACAAGCTACCTGCACAAAGACTCACTCGAAGTATGGCAGCTCTACAGTGAGCGGCGCTCAAGGGCAAGTTATCACACCTTCCACTTTGGAATAGCAAACCTTGAAACGTACCTGACTTGTTCAACTGAGGGCGTAGCCGGCAAATGTGTCCATTCTTACAGAATTTGGGACAGCATCTTCTGCAGCTGAGCCGATAATCGGCGACGACATGCCGCGACTGTTTCCACCAGCATGCTCCAAGGCACCTACAGGGCGACCCTTCTTACCCGCAGTTGCATATTCTGCTGCTGTTGATTTTAGTGCCCAACAGCTCGTCAGGCAGTCTTCTCACTGGACCACTTTGGGCCCATGCTCCAGCGGAGGAAGCTCAGCTAAGCCTCTGTCTGGTGCAGCCAGCGTGGCCAGCCAGTAGCCTTCATGCATTTGCACTTCCAGCTCCAGCAGTTTTGCAGTCATGCCTTTTTCACAGGTTTATGGTCCAATCCTTCCATCACCGCTGACCTCATAGTCCAGCAGCGCTGAGTTGACGGGCGACTTTCTCACTGACCGGCAGATCTGACTCATGGATCCCTTGTGCACTATCACAACCAGGCCTACCAAGCCTTTGGCCGATTCAGTTGCCAAACGTGAAACGAACGTTTTAAATAATGGTCGTGCCTCTGCTGGTACAATAGAAGAGGATGCAGATAAACAAAGCCTCCAGATTGGCCTCCTCCTCGTCAAGATCTTCCTGAACACAATCGCAGCAATCGCAGCGTGACTTGCGACAGAAGTCCGTGAGCCGCACGTCAGATGTCAGGAATCTGTAAAAATCTGAGACTGCTTGGTCTGGCCTTGGCGCGTGTAGTCGCCTGGTAGTCTAAAGAAGCTCCGCAGATGTCGATGCAAACGCCGATGCCGCAGATGAAGACAGCACCCTGGGCCATGAAAAGCAGAAAACAAGGCTTGCTCAACTCATCTCAACTCCACACAGCAGCGTGTAACCTGACACAGCTTCCTCTCCCGCTACATGAAACCTGCGCCGTCCACATGACAGCTGCCCCAAGCTCACAAAGCTAAAATGATGGCCATTGCAGTGCTCAACGCCGCTGATGATTCTCAGCGCTATTGGGCCGGGCTCAACAACATCCCCAGCCCTTCAGCCCTCTGGCCCTCACTCGGCATCCTGCCCATGCATAACGAACGGCGCCTGAGCGAAGGGGCGCAAATCTTTGGGTTCTGTATGCGCATGCAAGCAGAGGTCAGCCAAAGATCAATGGGACCTCTCAAATTTGTCAGCACGAGCGGCGTCTTGCCAAGGTTTCCGCAGCGTGGGCCTGAAAGGCTGAGGCTGCAGTGCTTCAGCCGACTTTGCGAAGCAACACATGGCAGGAACGGCTATGTATACAACATAAACAGTACCTGCCTGGTCCAGTACCTCTTTGGCTTCCTCCTCCACTGTGACGGTACCCTCAGCACACATGCCGCGCTGCTTGGGCGATGTCAACTCTTGGTACTGCAGCTATCATTTGCGAGTTTGTCCACTTCTCATTTGTCTCAAGTCTGCATTTGTTTAAAGCTTCAGCGTCGAGCATTCGAACTGCTTTCCATCCGGTACCCCTTTGCAACCGGAGGGGCAGAATCCGCCTCTGCCCCTTCATCTGCAGCATTGAGGAAGCTTGCCTTGATGCAATGACTCTGTGTGCACCGAGCGAGGCTACTCAAGGTATTGTAAAGCTTGTGGGATACAGACAGCCTTTACATTTCTACCAGTCCCACTGTCGCCCAGGCATTCACTCTTTTTGATGTGGGCGCAGAAATGCGAAGGCCTCCCGGCCCTGCTTTAAGCAGAAGCTGGTGCTCTTAAGCGCAACAGCCTTTGTTGCGTTCACGATCCAGCGGGAGATCCCAGCCTTGCCAGCTGCTTCCACTGTTGAGGGAGGCGGCTCTATATCAAGCGACTGAGCTTCTCCTCGAATACATCCCTTGCTTGTCCTTCCTCCCTTGCTTCTGATTGTGAGTCTGATGCTGCCTATGAGGTTAATTCTGCCCTGGTGATTGTAGTCTAGTAGTCTTGGTTGTACCGCCGGTGGCAAGTGCTCGAACCCTCCTGCAACCGTCACCAGTATGAGTCAGGGCTACCTGCCAATGCTGCCAGTTGACGGTACGCCCGGTAAGCCCTCATACTGGCACACGCATGACCCTTGACATCTGAAAGGTAGGTTTCAAGCTGCGGGCTTGGCAGAGCAAAGTCCAGGTGCATGCGCGGCTTGCACTTGAATACACTCTTCCACTGGCCTATCTCTGACAGGACAATTTCAGAGTAATTGAATTTCTTTTGAAAAATGTTCAGAAGGGCGGAGTGGGTTCTGGACCACAAACTTCCTGAAATTGCCGACAGGTGCACGGACAAGAAGGGCCCTGCGCACACATCATCCCTAGAACAGCGTCTCACCCAGGATACTACACGAATGCTATTGCTATCCCAGCGTGGCCGTGCCCACCAGCAGGAACCGGGAACGTTTTCCCCCAGGACTGACACTGCAGAGAGCTCTCAGGAAACAAACGCTTGCCGTCGACACTCATGGCATCAATGCAGATTGTGTACAGAGCCAGGGTCAGAATTGCAAGGAACATGATTTGTGTTTGATGCATGTTGCAGCTCGCGACTGTTGCCTTGGGAACTCTTCACGCCGCGTGCTACACAAGGTCGCGCTGCAAAGCCAGAGTCTTGTGTTCAGACCCAAACTGGCTTGCAATCTCTACAAGCTGGGCGGCCGCCACAGTAGCTGAGCTTCAGCTTGCAGGAGCGAGGTTACTTTCAAATCTTCCTGACTGCCACCCAACTCCGAATGCTGACATCCGGTGATGTTCGTCGAAGAGCAGCCCCGTGGACCAGGGCTTGAAACTACATATTGCGAAGCTACGTGAAGCTACGAAAGCTGACATTTAGTCTTGACCGATTGCGCCAAGCGCATCGAATTTCATGCCAGACCGGCATGAGGCTTCTCAAATAGAAAAGCTCATTCAGACATCCTGACCCTTCTCGGAGACGCAACTGAAATCCGACTTCCAGAGTTTGAGAAGCCCGTCCACATGCAGAAGAACACGTGGACACTCATCAGCACCTGGCAATCAGCGATCGCCAGAATCGCCAGAAGAAAGTGGAGCCTCCTGGCACACACAAGGCAGGCGCCACAAGGCCGTTCTGACTGTGGACGCTCTCGAATGCTATTGAATGCAATTGAATGTTGACGAGGCAGCTCGCCTAGGAGCTGTTGGAGCTGCCTATCGAGGAGCCGATGTGACTGCCAGCCTGCGAAAACAACGATGTCAGGATGGGCTTAGGTTTGGAGATATCTGCAAGGCTTGCGAGATCTTGCGAGGCTACAGCGCTTTGAGTTTCAATGGTGCAGTCCAGATCTCTGCGCCTTGGAGCCAGCTGTGCCGTTGCCCCCTCGCCGGTGCTCTTTGTGCCTCACCGCAGGCTGGAACAGCATGAGCATCTTTCACAGCGTGCACGAGATTCAAATCTGTTCCCGGCACTGCCTGGCTGTGGTCGCTTTTGCGATCCTTAGTTTGTCCCTTTGGGCTTCTGTGCTAGGGGAAAGAGGTAGGGTTATGTAGGGCTGTAACTCACAGTTGAGACGAACACTAGAGCCACGACAAGATTTTTGGGGGAACAACGGTCTACATGTCCACAGCATGGCAAGCACAAAAAGCTAAAGCGGTGGCTCCTGGAGTGGTCTGGGGCCAGGGAGAAGGACAAGCCAGGGGAAGGTCTCGTAAGCCCAGACAATTTACTGCATCTCATATGGGGTCCCGTATATATGTATATATACAATATTATATATATATATGTATATCGACTAGAGATAAAGGGAAGCCCAGAGCAGGCAGTAAACTACCTTGCTGTTTACACAAGACTCAAATGGCATTCTTTCTACCGTGCTAGCCCATTCTTGACACTGTTCTGAGATGTGTCTCGCTCCTACATCCTTGTCATGGTTCCACCCCAAGCTCTAGGGTAAGCTCCCACGTCGGGGCCAGCAAGTTCAAAGCTGAGCTGAGACTCATCTTTTCCAGGCGATCAAAGCGATCTTCGTCGGTGAGGTTGGCGGTCTCCTGCTATTTGCTTGGAATCACGCTCGTTTCCAATAGTTGCTAGCTGATCTCTGGTCTGCGGAGGCGTACAAAACAGTTCACACCATGCAGGTGGCGTCCTCGCTAGGCCAGGGCATCGTTGGTGCCGTGGAACCACCGAAGCCTAGGCTCAAGCACGATAAGCCCAAAGCCTACTCCCATCCACCTGCTCCCACTTCCAAAGACAGGTGCCTACGCATGCTATCAAAGTAGAGGTAAAGCTGCGAAAATCGGCACCTCAACGTCAGCATGTTGTGTGAAGCCGTGGCACGCCTGATGCTGTCCGAGGTGACGATTTTGGCACTCCTTAGCTAAAGCTGAAGAAGCTGGTAAATCTCTCTCTCAACCACACTTTTTCTCAAAGATGTCGCCCTACCTCCAGAGCCCAACGTCAGTCGGTACTCAGTCTCCTGCTCTGGGCTAATTATCCGCAACAGATCCCTACAACTTGGGATTGCAGCATGTCGTATCCATATGCCCCAGCCGGGAAGGCTCTGAAAACAATACCCGATCAAGTGTTCCCTGCATTGTCAAATGCCCCTCAAATACCTAAGCCTTCTCGTCCTGACAAGCAGTCCGCGGACCAACATGCTTCAAGGAACGCAGGCTCCAGGATTTGTATGCCTCCAGCTATTCCAACATCGCCTGTGTCAATCAGCTGGCAACTCTGGGTTGGAATGCCTGCTTGAAGAATGTACTGGCTTGTTCAGCTCAGATTAGCAAAAACCGCACAACATGTCTAAGGGTTCGATCGAACGCGCTGCATTGGCCCATGTCTTTATGTTCAGTCAATCTGCCTTCGTTGAACTCCAGCGGCTGATCAAACGCTAATCGACGAAGGAAGGCTTGCCAGCGACTTCGCGGGACCTCCCAGGATCCCCCAGGGCTTGGCTGCACTTCCCTCTTCTTCGATTTCAATTTCACCGATTCTTTCTACAGCTCGGGCATCCTTGCGCTTGAGACTTCCTACAGCACGGCAAAACTAGGAGATACCAGCAGCATTGTTTGCAGCTGTATGAGCTCGAAATCTTTCCTGACAAGCTGGAAACAGCATGCACTAGTCAAGTCGCAGAACGCCAACACCGAAGCTAAAGCTACCTCAGCCCACATCCAATTCGACGTCAGCAAAAGAACAGCACACAAGCGCACCGCCACGGTGCTTGCACAGATTTTGACAATGCTGTAGCTCCTGCTGAATTCTACAACTCTCTGTGGTCCAAACCCTATGCAAATCAAAACAATTCACTGCTAGCAGAGATGCTCACGACTTTGTCTCGCAAATGTACTTCAACGGTATCATTTGTTGATTGCAGCTGTGGATTGAGACGCTTCGATTTTGAAAGCTGGGATTCGTACAAATACCTCCTTGTTTTACATCAATTATCACAGGGACTTGTGCGAACATCCACCTCCGTGCCCTCCCTTCATACAAGAATCTGCAACTACAAGCAACATGCCCAAGCGCTAACTCAGTTTTCTGCACGGAAGTTGTAATGAGTTGGGAAGTTGTAATGAGTTGGCTCAGCGGTCTCCATGAAAGGCAAGACCTATTCCCCGCTTGCGGCAATCACCATCCACTGAAGTTCAAAAACGTGAACACTGCAATGGTGTCCAACATGATGTGGCTCCAAGTCTGTTGAGATCTTTCCAGTCAGCAGGGATACAACAACCTTGAAACGTAAGGATGATGCGTGGAAGTCGTGTGCTTTTCGAGACATGGGAAAAGCCCCATAGCACACGCCCCTGCTGAAAAAATATGTTCCAAACACACACGTGGTTATGCAGACACCTGGCGATTAAATGGTTGCAGGTGAGACAACAATGAGACTCTCACATCCGACATGATCCTAGTCAGTGTCTGGGGTGCGTGACTTAGGTCATGCAAAATCCGCGCAGCTGCCAGTATGGTCATGGCCCGAAGGTATCGAACAAGAAGCTCCAATTCACTATTGGCAATGTAGATGCTATACCTAATGGTTTCGACTGGCTTGAGGATCCTTCTCAAGTCAGAGTAGTGTCATAAAGACACATTTCGCTCCCGCGCCTGGCCCATAACCTGCACGATCACCTGCATGGACGTGCGACTGGGCCGCAGTTGGGGCGCAGAATTGGGCCCCGTGCATCAGCTTGCATCAAGTATCTACATCATCCACAAACACACTGACCAACACCGGCAGGTGCCAACTTGAGGATTGACTGGTCATAGGCTGCAGGAGCAGCATGTTCATGTCTAATCCAGCTTGTATTGAAGTATCCAGCCACAAATGGCGCAATGAAAAGCTCGAATCCGAAAACCCCAGCAGTGCTGGCAAGCGACAGCTGCCCGTGTGAGGCGCGCGTTGCCATAAATGTCTTCAAACATGTTGTGGTACGCCTGGTTAAGCTGCGCTATCAGCAGATTCCTTGGTGGCGGAACACATCAAATGAATAAAGTCGATCGTTTTTAGCCACAAGTAGATGCTGCAACGACAGCCTTGAAGCAGCGTTGCCTACATGCTCAACAATCAATCTGAATGCTGAATGCTGACTTTCATTGGACTTTCCAGCATGTTAATTGACGGCACGTCCCATGCGAAGGCAGTATGTGCTGCAACCAGCTGTCAGCTGAGTTCATTCGCTTCATCAAGCCAAGCATCAGTAAGAAGATGAAAACCAAAGCCACGAAAACAGAAACAGCCACCAGAACGGCCACCTCCACCTGGAAATCGTCATAGTGCCTCAGCTCGCCACTTTGCCTGCGGTTCAGCTCAGGAACTCCATGGTGTAATGGAAGTTTTCACGCGCTGCCAAGCCTTGGCTTCAGTTGCTGCGGCAGGCAAGGCGCGTGTTCGGAAACATGCCCAACGAAATTTGCAGCAGCGCACGCATCCACATGGGAACCTTAGTTTCAGTTGCGCCTTGCGGACTGGAGACAAGGGCTCAAATGGTGGCACCACCCCTCACAAAGCCTCCGAAAGAGCTTTGCCCGCAGTAAGAGGAAGAATTCAAACGCTGCACAGAAATGAACGCTGTTCAATATTCTAGCATCGCTGTACCAGCGATCGGGTTTCCTTGCGCCGGCCCCTCTCGTCTTGGGCATGAGAGGGGTTTTACTGGAACATCAAAGTATACAGATGTGCAAAATCAACATGTATGAGAAAGCATGTTTTTTTTTGTGCCCGCCCTTGCGCGCGCGAGCTTGAGGCAAAACCCCTCTCAAAAGCCTAATCTGCCCTTAGTCTTGCTACACTACGCAGGCTTTAGACTGGCATCCAAATCCTGCTGCTGGGATGAGGCTCGTAGCAGTAGCTGCCATCAAAGCAAATGGAAGCTCCAAACACGCGTGATTTGTCAACCCTGAGCCGTTCAAAGTCAGAGCAACTCCTCCGAAGTCGGCGATGTGATGGTTCAGCGCGGATATGGCCTTTGACATTGTGCTTGCCAATCCCCTGCGACTCTGGCAGAAATCTCAACATGCCTGCATCAGCTCTGGCAGTGAGTTTGCTGCCCAGGAGCCGTAGAGAAGGCCAGGATCAGGAAGGCCAACGCAAGCACGAAGAGGCCTACCTGGCTTCATCTAAGATCGGACGTAGAACACGGACAAAAAGGAGTAGTTTTGTGGATTGAAAAAGGAGTGGTTTTGTGGATTGTACAAGAAACGTTTCGTTTCACATGTTGGCTCCTCTGGATTCGCGACACGCGTTGAAGAGTCTGCCTTGCCGATGCTCTCCGTCACAAACTCACATACCCTTGCTAAGCCAACTTCAAGCCTGACAGGATTCTTTGCTTGCCCTTCGTTGCTTCACCTCGGGCAGGTTTAATCAAGTCCTGCTCTGCTTCCCAACCGGCCTCCGAGATCAGGTAGAAGCAAACCAGCAGGAATGCTGAAACGCGCATCGAAAGCAGGCTGAAATCTGTGAGAAGGAACCTTGGAAGAGCGACGTGACATGGAAAGATGCCAGCCTTCTACCTTCAGCGGTATGCTGAGTGGAACCTTGTACTGCTAAGCTCGACATCCAGTTTAGTGCCGGCAGGTCTGTAGGTAGCACATGCGCGAGGCTACCAGACGCGTGACTCTAAGGTCATGAAAAAGAGCTCAGCTCCAGGAAGACTGGGACTTGAACATGTCAAACATCTCACTCAAATTACTACTGGCTTCTCTTAAGGTTTCCCGAGCAGCCAGTACAGCAGCAGGGCAATGGAGCTCAAAATGGAGTAGACATCCAATATCTGCAGGGCACAGTTGACAAGCCGCAGCCATCTCCGGCTCCCACAAGAAGGATCGTTTCGTAAACGCGGGGCTTGATTGCTTAACTGAGGAGAATGAGAAATGCACAGTGCTGATCTGGCAGGTGAACTCCCTCAGCCAGCCTCCTGCCCCTCCGGACAAAGGACTGAGAACAGCAAGTAGTTCCTCGGACGGCCATCGCGGACTCACCGAAGAATCGCGAGCACGGTGTGGCGCGATCACTTCACAGCCACCGCCTACTTTAGAACCAGCCTGTAGTACTAACGGAAAGCAGACCAACCTTTCTTCTAAGTTCCAGCGTCCATGCACAAGGGACTTGTTTTGTGCGTTCTTTCTTTTTGCATTCGCGGTACGACGCAGCTCGAGAGTTGATGCAGTAGGTGATCGGCTCTAAAGCAAACCTTGCGTGCTGCAAAACGTTCATCTGAGAAAATGCGCAGCCAAACAGATAGATCACCGTAAGCCGAACTGCCCATAGGCTTCGTTATCACAATTTTCGTCTGGGCCCTACCTACAACATCCTGCACAAGAGCACGAGGTTCCGGAGCCTCTTGGCCGCATGTTCGGATTTGATACTTAGTAACATCATTGATGCGAAAAGTTGTGCAAGGTCATCCTTTCCAGTCAGTTCCAGCCAAAGAGCATGATCACGAAGATCCACATCAAACACAGCTGGCCAGCCTCGGCCAGCAGATAAGTCTGACTTCTCATCTTAGTATGGATGTACGTGCTGGCTGTCTCTATTGAAATCAATTTCCTAGTGGGCAGGGCAATCTCTGAGGCAGCCACCACCTCCGCACTCTGAAGGCTCTTCGGTAGCGGGCAGCATCCTCAGAAACAGAAATTCCCATCTTGAAAACACTTTTTTTGAGCCAGAAAAACAGCTGGCATGAGCCCAAATAGCCCAGAGGTGGGATCTGTCAACAATACTCGCGCTTCTCAAAACGTCAAAGGCGCCGCAGGCCCGGAACACCGTTCCTTGCTTGAAGTCGCCATAGAGCTTCCTGTTGTCAAGAGATTCACAAGCGAGGCTAAGAGATATGGTAGTTTCCCAAAGTAAGGAATATAGACCCCAAAATACTGTAATTCCCATTAATTATGGGAGCCCCAACAAGGTATCCTCCATTTTGGGAAGCCCGCTTTGAAGAGGCTTAAGAGCTTTCACAGCTTTCCCAGCTCCACAAGTGGAGCAAGGATCACCGGGCCGGTAGAATGCTGAAATATCTAACCCAGGCCTGGTGATGTTAAACATCAGCGATGGCAGGCAGCCCAAATAGATGATCACCCTGCAGCAAAGGGTGATAACGTTCTCCTCAGGGTCAGATGAAAGGGCTCCAGTCTGGATCTAGAGCTGAGCATGGCTGAGCCATTGCGTCCTCCAAAGTCTCAGTGTAGTCATGATGGAACAGGATCGCCTGGCTAGTCGCAAAGATCAAGGCGGTCAGAAGGAAGTAGCAGCGTCCTGGCATTTCTGCACATCTGGGCTCTTCGCAAGTCTAGGGGATCTTGAACAGCCTGCAACCGTAGACTTGCGCCCTTGAAGTGTATGAGTAGGCAGCTTTATCCTCACACCCTCCGACTGCAATCCCCTTGGGCCGAGGGTCCAAGGAAGAAGTAGAACACTGCAAAGCGGAACCAGATTGTGTCAGCGGCCAAGCACACAGCTGGATGGCTGGTTATCCTTGGGAATCTTTAGATGTTGCAAAGTGGTTCATGATGCAGACTGCTGCTCCACACATTCATAGGCTATCTGCATACCATGGCCGCAGCATAGCGTGGGATAGCTCTGCACCAAACAGCAGAAACCCTATTGGAGAACTCCCTTCAGCCCCGAGGCTTGGCATCTCCGTGACCGACGAGCCAATGAAGAGCCTCATGTCTCCAGGTATTGACCCCTTACCTCAAACCGTTCCGGGTGGTGCCTTTCCGCATTGCAAGATAATGGCTTCTGTTCCAGGAAGTGCTGCCAGAGAAAAGTGTGAGAATCTCGATCAAAAGACCCGAGTCTCCCTCAAGTTGTCAGTGGAAGGCCCTGCTCCCTGATTATAGCTAGTGAAAATTGGTGAACCCGAAGGCACCTGGTTGAAGTTGCCCTCGAGGTCCTGCTAAGAGGCAAACTCAGAAACGCTTTCGTCAGCCCAACAGCCAGGACAGTTGCCAAGCTAAGACTTCAAGTCCTGAATCAGATGCTTCACGTAATAATTCACACGCCGGTTGCCGTGCGTGGTCAGGCCTTGTTTTGACTATTGCACAGGCTCTATTCCAGCAATGCCATGCCGGAATACATAGAGGCCAAACTGTGACAATAAGCCTGCTGACATACGCATCATATACTTACATGAAACATCTGCCTAGAGTGCAATGTGCAATATCCAAGCTGCGGGATCGCCAGATCAGACCATCGAAGAGCGGCCATAGAAGCGTTGGGGCGCCTGAGACGTGGATCATACACGAACGAAGCCCAAGACGCATGCACATTGCCGGTGCGATAGTGCCCTTGTATTCACTTCCTTGTTCCGAGTTGCAGGCGATGAGAATTAAAGGCGACAACCCTCATGCCTAAAAAAGCGGTCACGCAGCATGTCTTCAACCGCGGAGCTGTTGCACAGGCGGTGAATAACCTGAACGCTGTGCAGGCTCAGTGCCGTGACGCAGACTCACATGGTGGCAAACGAGCCTCTGGGTGTCGCGTGAAAAGGGCATCACAGCCGTAGTAGTACACCTCACGATCGGCACGTATGATAAGAAGGTCCTGCGAGAATCCAGGATATCACCATCTAACGTATGCAGGAAGACATGCTTACTGCTCCAGAGGTGAAGAGACTCCTCGATGATAGCATTGGCCACAGCTAAGCTTCCACTGTCAATGGACCAGTATAGAGGCGAGATGGACTGAGTCCCAACCTGAAACGCGTTGCTCGCAGCTTGCATATCTTGCATATCTGTCTGCCAGCGCTGATCAAGTGACTGAGACTTCCAAGAGCTGTTTCGCACGCTGGCCGCGCGGAGCCAAGGAGATTGCTTTCTTCAGCTCTACCTGCAGACCGCAAGATTAACGCAGCCGCAGATTCATCTCTGCAAGTCTGCCTCACTGTTTGTATTGATGGCCTTCATGACGACTGTGGAACCTCAGAAGAAGATACATAGGACTTCGCAGCATCGCGGCATCACACAGGCTTCGATCATCGTCGATCGTTGCTTTTTCATGACGAGGCGCCTTCCAGGATGACTCGACATAGGATCTTTGAGATCAGAGTCAGGCACCTGCACATCCAACTCCAACCTCTATGGGCTAGCAGGTTCGCCCTACAGTGCCCGAGTTTGAATGGCGGATGTGCGGCGAACAAGCTGAGCTGCGCACCACTGGTAGGCTGTGGGTATTATTTCCTCAGCTGCATACAAGGCTTCAAGACACCCTGCATCTCGAACTCGACTCATCAGAGCGCACCTCGCCAAGACCAAGCTTTCAGCGCTTGGAAAGTAGGGACCAGTTGAGGTCAATGAGTCCACCCTAGAAGATGATGGAAGATGTGTGCCCGTCCTTACGGGCAAAAACCTCCCTGAATCTTTGAGGCTGCCGGGCATCGTCCGTAGTGTACTCTTGAATAATTTCAGAGCTGCAAACGACGAACGGGGGAATCAACCTTGCTGAAGCATAGGCAAGGCATTTGAGGGTGTAGCGATCTTGCACAGGGTAGCAATCTTACACAGGGCACCTCAGCTTTCCGGCCGAGGAGCTCAACAGGAACACCGTAGCCAACGTGGCGAAGGCCTTGCCCATTGCTGCCAAGGAAGGACGGCAACATAGAAAGTGTTGCTTGACATGGGCAAAGAAAAGACGTTCACACCTAAATTAAGAAGACACATCACGTTAGCTTGGAAGCCTACCTGCCTCAAACAGCAGCAAAACCGCAAATGAAATTAAGCTTGAGAAACATGGGCAGTTTCAACCCGATCACTGAAGGGTTCTTTGGCCAAGTCATCCCTAAACGTCCGGAGCGGCCTAGGGCTGAGATGTCCTCAACCAGCTTGAGCGGGTTAGCAAACATCCTCGGATAACGTGTTCTTCAGGCTCTTGGGACCTGCAACCCCCCCAAGCTCAGAATGATCCAAAAGTAACCTGTATCCTGACGGTCAACAACCGAAGACAACGCTTCTGCCCAACACTCCTCCAGCTGTGACTGCCTACCCGCTGAAGGGCCTGAAGACCTTGACCCACCCCAGCTCATACCTAATGATCTTGTTTACATCGCCAGCTCTCAGCTCAGGATCTCAATGATCATCTCGTTGATCTTGTCTAGAATGAAGTACAGGCGGGTGGTGGACTGCTTGAAGTACTCCTGGCACAGTCTAAGGAGAAATCTGGCCGAGGCATCATGAATGCGTTCTTCAGAGATATGCTGAGACTGCCGTCTTTGTGCTGCATTGAAACAACTGTTGGGTTGAAAACCTAGACACTTGGAGCCTACAAACCCCAAAGGTGTCAACGCAAGTCACTGGAGACCCTTGAATCGGAACTGCCACCAACTTCAGGCTTCCTGGCCCGCTGGGCAGCGTGTGAAGAAGAGCGCATATGTCTTGATCCGCACAGTCTGCAGCTGGTCCTGAGGGTAGATGCAAGCTTTGAGTTGGGGTTCAAGGTACAGAGCAAACTTCAAACCTCAGTGGCCCCTCTCTTGCAAGGCAGACCGCGGTCGAACAGAATATCAGGAAAACAAGCGCAACACCATGACGCAGAGACCATAGCCTCCTCCAGGGAGAACATGAAGTTCCGGACGGCCTTCTCATACGGTCGTGGAAGTGAGACCGTGCTAGAGACCTCGGCCAACAACTCTGTGCGTAAGCTCTGTGAGCATTCTTTGCTTCCACCGCTCCGGATAACAACCTTGCAGCGCAAATCTTAAATGATCCAAAGCTTGCGCACAGCTTCCCCCAGCCCTCAGCTACGCTGGGCGGTTGCATCCAACCCATGAACCAACAAATCCATGCAGCAGCGCGGAATATGTTCAAAAAAAACTACCACCCTGACCTCAGCGCCGCACAACACGCTCGACATTCTCCCAGAGCCAGTTCCAGGCCACTTCGTGATCCATGTCCTGGGCAGTTCTGTCTGAGTGCTTTCGTTCTTGCCTCGCAGCAATTACCTCCGGCCCAATGCTTCAGCCAAAGCTCCCACTCATCTGGGATCAAGGAGCGAAGCGCTGCTAGCCTTGACACGGGTCCACAAATCCCAGGATCCGTCTTGATATGCGAGTGCACCCAGAATGAAAAACGAAAGAAGGAGGTCAGGCTTAGACCCGTGAAATTGCAAGCTCCTGCTGCTGAACCGTTGAACCATGTTGAACCCATGCCAGGTTGGCGGTGGAGGAACAGATCACAGCATAATGAATTCGACAAGAGGTAGCGGCCAGGTGGAAAAATGAAGGTTCTAGATTTATGGCCAGAACCAAAAAAAACAGAACCTATGAAAATGCACGACACTTTACTCCCCCGCGTGCAAACAACATAATCCACATAACCCTCCGATGCTGCAAACATACTCATGACATGACATGATGCTTTTAACGGTGAGCATGGATGGCCTGAAAAAGCGGTTGGACGAGCCAAATATTTCCACGAATTCCATGACTTCCTAGAGAAACCTTGTAATTTCGCCGCGATTGCTTGGAAATCGTTAGAACTTTGGTAAAAATTTGACGGGGCCCACTTATTCCACGAATTCCATAGAGAAAATGGTGGAAAATGCTGGTCCACTTACCTTTGTGTAGCATGGAAGGAATTGAAAAGCGATTAAAAGTTGGTTCGGCAGGACAAGAATAACATTCGACCGTTGGACCATCAAGAACCCGTAACACCACCCATACAAAACACATACCATCTAAATCCAGACAAAGTCTCAAGTCACAAGGCCTCTATGTTGAACCCTTCGTGACCTAAGAGGACTCAAAAGCCTTGATCTCAGACCGTGCAGCATGACGGCCCGAAAATCGGTCAAAGCGAAGTCCGTGTCCTTCGAGGGGGCAACTGCAATGTCGGCATGGCCAATGGTGCACAAGGAGTCAGAACAAGATGCCGTAGTAGGAATGACAAAGGGATGCATATAGCAGGTTTCCTGCTGTGCGAGCAGCACAAGTTGGTGAAACACCAAAACAGCCAGATGTCGTCACCTTCGTGTCACATTTTAGTTTACGTCTGAAGCCGCAGGCTTCAAAATTGTTCACATGCCTCAACTGACACCTCTGCTGCCACATGGTTGTGGGATCCCTGCATTCTGAAAATCCCTGGCGCTCCGGCAATCTCGCCAGGCAAAGGGACAGCACGAAGCACTCCTCCTCGCGCACCCAATTCGCTTCTGAACGTTCATGCGCCCCGACTTTGTGAGGAGCGAATCATGGCACAAACAACTCAGCAAGCAGAATTCACTGAAGCAAGGCAAAGATTGACCTGGGGGGAATGCATTCACTGCACACCCTTCAGCTCGAAACGGCTCCAGATTTGTACTACAGGCGAGCTTTTCCCTCGAAATATTTCCAGACAGATAGTATCAGGGGTAATAATTACAATTAAATTCCACGGGCCAAAAAGGTACATCAATCACCAGGCCATCTGACTAGTAAACAGAGCGCTTCGTCAATGCAAGCTCCTTTCCATAACTCTTACATACTCTTACTACAGCACTGCTATTGCTACCAGTGCTACGTCCCTTCATGCAGGTATGAAACCCCCCTACCCCCACAATGGAATATTCCCATAAGAAACTTCTTTGAATTCGGATGTTTCTATTCAGATTGAGGGATTTCCCCGAGCCCAAAGTCCAAATCCTAGATGAATCAGATCCCCGGAGATGTATGATTGCAACCCTCCAAAAATTGCACCCTTCCAAAGAGAAATCATTCAACATCATTTAACGGGTACTATCGATTGAAAGTACCCATACATTAGAAAAGGAAGAAAGCATCCTTCTACAATCTTTCGGATTGCCCCGAAGTCTGTTCACCCCGTTGATGTCTAAGCACTTGCAGCTGTTTTCAGCAGCTTGACGCCCTGCAGCCTGTACGCGCCCAGAGTTCGCAACGTTGGTGGCAATATTGTCAAAACGATCCAGCACAAGATTCATCCACGCTGTTTCCTGGGAAAGGCATTTAATCGGCATGGCTGATTTGAAAGAAAAGACGTGTGGTCATTGTCATGGACAAGCCCTTTCGGATGTTTCCAGGCTTCAGGTACAGCATTACATGACGTGAAAAACTTGATCAGCAAGTGCAGGTGCTTATGAAATGGAAGATGAAATGTGAACTGTTCGCCTTGTGATGCTGGGTTTCCAGCAAGATCTAGCCAGTATTCAGTTTATTTCTGCACTATTCAACTTGGCCGGGATGACTTTCTGGAACAGCATCAGAACAACGCTGATTCGGGAGCTTGCGAATGATATGCCATCCGTGTGTCCGAAAAGCCCATCACAGTGGCGTTGAACATGAACATGCCGGCGAAGTCTGTTGGCACTTGCCTTAGTACCAATGGCCGGGCTAAAATCTTTCGTCAGATACCTCTGCAGAGTCTATACGTCGTCAGAGGCTGCTACTGATGCTAGTGCCTCAACTGTATCCCGCAGATCTGACATGCCAAACTTGCGACCTTGGCTTAGCTCATCTTGCTTGAATTTGCATGCGATACGGTATCCTGCCAAAGCCTTCATGACAAATCTGCTGCGGAACTGCGTACTCACATATCTTCAGTGCACCCACCAACACACCTTTGCAGCTCTTACAAGATTGCCAAGCTTCATGGCAGGATTCTTGCTCTTCGCGGCAGCGAGGAAGCTGCCTCCTTGGTCTCAGGGAATTCCCACATATCATGCGGATATGTTTACCATGTTTTGCCACGCTATGTCATGCAGCAAATCAATTACTAAATCCATGGACGAGAAAAGGCACGCTGGCAACAAGTTGGGTGCCTATCCAGCTCTTGGCTTAAAGAATGTCAAGGAGAGTTGGTAAACGCGTTTCTCGACAACACGATAACGCGCTGTTGAAAACGGCATGCACAGTGGCCCTCAGCCTGCGCTTCTTCGGTTTTGACACTGCAGGCATTTCATCCTTCACGAATGCCAGCACTAGGGGGCCACTAGGGAGCTGCGTAGAAGCTCAATGACCTTACAGATCAGTCTCGGCGCCAGAGTCAGCCTTTTGACTTCACATAGCACGGAGGAAAAGCAGCGGATCGGGGGTCGAAAGCAATCTGAAGGCATGGGTGATTCCTATCTGAGCTGGTCTAACTGGGGAGTTCCTGGTGTTTCATGCCGGGTCTGGCGCCATCTGCGGCAGCCGGGGCGTATGCCGGAGCTGTAATCTGCAACCCAGGGGCTGTCTTGGTCTGATGGGTTGGTCGGCTTGGTGGCTGACCGCGAGGCCTCATCTGGGAGCTAAGCAATCAAGACGCTTCACTACAGCCTTCCGTCTACAGGCTACCTGTCAGCCGTGGTGCAAAAAAAACACGGCCCCAAGATAAAACCAGCAAACGCAAGGAGCAAATGCGACTGCTTGCATAAAGCGCAAGGCCTTGTTGGTCTCCTGCTTTGGCTTCTTGTCTTCTTGCCCATCCTTTAGAGTGTCAAGGGTGCAAAGGAATACTGCACGGCTGCAACATGAGTAGGGGCGTGTCCTCCGGCTCAGCCTTGTTAGGATCCTTGACGTCAAAGCCACCTCAGGGAAAGCGTTACAAAACGGCCGCAAGGTCTTACCGAAGCGCCTCTCGCTGCACATAGCCCGCTCTGATTAACACAAATCTGGAGGGTCTAACAGCTCAGCAAGGCTCTGCCTTCTGGCAGCTGAGCGTGTTCAATGGTTTCCTGCTTGTTGACTTGCTTCCAGCTGCGCTGAATGATCCTGCCCCAGTGACAAAGATCAAGAGGCTGGCGGAAGACAAGCGCAGCTGCTTTCTCTCTAGGTATCGTGCGATTGTCGACCAGCACCCGCAAATGCACCAGATCTCGAGGAATAGGCTTCTTGGTGCAAGTCCTGATTCGATCTGCAAGCTCTCGGAGCACGAAGATGAATGCTCCTGGCATTGACACATCTACGGGACAGATTTCATATCATAGCTTGGATTTGAAACTCCAATAAATCGAACGGGTTCGGTTCATAAGCAAAACAATCTTTCCCGATTTCTAGAGCCCTCCTCCCACCTCCAATGTAGTTCAACAGCACGCCCAGGCTCTGTCGCGATCTGTCTGTAAATGATCCACCTGCAAGGACTGGGAAGGCTCCCACATGCTTCTCCTGAGGGGGACCTACCCTGGCCCTGTCAGTATCTAGGAGCCTATGATGCCATGCACCTTCTGGACTCTCTGGAAATATCAATTTAGATCCATGCTAGCCATACACGCTCCTCCTGGCTCTTGCGCATGCATCACTCCATGAAACCCCAAACTCTTTCCAGCAGCATTCAGATGACCAACTCAAGATCATGCAAGTCTCTTGGTGCCAAATTGAACAGTGCCCGTTTAGATTTATCCGGGATCCAGAGAATTCCGTCAATATATATATATATAGATATGTATATGTTTCAGATGATTGCTTGGGCGATCTACCTTGGCTCTGCCGGCTGGATTGAATGGCATAGAAATCCAAAGCCTGAAATGAGGAAATTTGGGACCATCTAGGTAGACTACAATTTCGCGCAATGCGTAAAGATTGCAAACGGAAGAACAAGAGAAGCTCAGATTGGCAAAAACCTCCTTGGCTCCGCATCTTTCAGGAGCTGGCCTAACTCCATTTCTGCCACGCTGAGGATGGCTTCTCGGATGAGCTCCACCCGGGATGTGGTTACAGAATGGTCCAGGTGTTGGAAGCCGTAGGTTTCCTCGGCAAAGCTTGAAAGGCTTGGTATGCAGGAACAACGCAGCAAAGTTGCCTAGCCCCAACTTTATATCAAAACCAGTGCTGGACAAGGTCTGCAGCTTGCAGATCTGCTGAGACTAAACATTAATTCTTTCAAGGTCGCCCTAATAATCTTTGTGGATGCATCGGTGCACAAAAAAAGGAACACTAACACGCAGGACTCCACGTATGACCCCGTCCATTGCGCATCAATTGTCCACCGTCTTCTTCAAAGCTGACGGCGAGTCCAAGTCAGCCAACATGCCTGAGACGGGCTTTTGTGCACTTAACTCCTGATAGAATCCAACGCAACCCATAGTAGGAGAGGGGGCCACCTTTTGGAGGTTTGGCGCTGTGTTGAGAAAGAGATGTTTCACTTCTACACCTAACCCCACTGATCAAGATTGAGGACCCTGGGGAGGTGAGCTGACTGAGATGTCTTTGGACTCTTTGGAAGCTGCTTGGTAGACAATCATCTCTGCTCATCACGCAAGAACAGAGCGCAGTTCGCTGGCCAGGCGACTGTTCATGCCGTTCATGAAACGTAGCCCGAACACCTGGACTCTTGCTGAGGCGAGGAGAAAACTGTCCAAACAGTGCCACACATGGCAAAAGTGGGGTGAATGCTCAAATGCGTCAAATGCAGCACCAAATGCAGCAAGAACCATAGGCAGCAGCACAAAAAAGTGTAGCAGAAGCAAGGACACAGACCCAGGGAAACAAATCAGAAATACAAATCCGAGCACAGCCGCTTTGGAGTGATCCACATCTCTCAAACAAGAGAGTAAAGACTGATCCTCACCTCCGACAGATCATATAAGGGCTTTAATCTCGTCTTTTGTTTGCGGCTGATGACACTGCATTGGCACTGAAAAAGCAACCCGTCTAGTAATCAGGATGGTGTGATACAAGTACGTGAAGGACCCTGGTACCAATGCCAACTTCCTTTGAGCTCAGCGACTGACTTGGGCGACTTGAAGAACTGCTTCAGGCCTGGAGCCTTCACAAGGACCATCTCAAGATTAAACCGCACGCAGGTGAATGAGCAGAATTCCGACTCAGGCTTACGCTCTTGCCAAGCTCGGCAAGCTAAAGGCCTCTTGTCTTGACCTAGCAGCCTGCTGCCTCATCCTTTCGCTGCTAGCAAGACAGCCGTGGCTGCTATACGAATCGGGTCTCGGCCTCATCCATGATGGTGTCAAAGATGGCTTCTCCCACAGCTTCTCGTGATCCCATCTTCATGATTAAGGCCTGACACGGCCACTGGGATAGCCAAGAGAATTTGGGGCACGCATCCAGTGTGCAGCTTACTACTGCACTGCGTTGAAATTCGTTGGACCATCTTTGTTTGCTTGCCTGCCAGGTCCGCTTTATCTCCTCGACTACTTCCACTGGGAGATTGAGCTCATCGAAGGTTGCATCGTAAACCCCAGCATACTTCGTGAAAACGACCTTGGGCAAGCACAGGGAGTCTGGCAAGGTCAAAAAAATCTGAGCATGTGCGCAGCTTTGGCAACACGAGTTTCAGTCTATGCGAGGACGTTTTAAACAAGGCATATCCTATTGGCAACCAATTCGTTCAAGGGATAGAATAGATACATATTTCCATAGACGCAAGCAGCATAGGAACGCCAGACGCAAACACCCACAGGATGTGTCTCACAGTTCGTTACAGCCAAGCAGCATGCTGGAGCATGCCCCCCGTCGTGTCGCTCTCATCCTGGTGAGTTTGGCGGTGGTGTGGGCTTGAGCCTGAAAGATTTGTAATTTCACGGCAAACTGGGAGACGATGGCTTCCGGCATGGTCCAAAGAAGCTGCTCCAACATGTTCAACAGATAAGGATAAGAAGCTGTAATAAAATGTCTATTTGCTCTATTTTCAACAACCCAGGCACCAGCGCAACACCTCCTGATGCTAAAACGCAGCTCCTCTCGACGTTCAACCCTTACAGTACCACACCTGTGACGACAGTGTCGCGCCTTCATTCTAGCAAAAAGAACAACAGGAAAAGCCTAAGAGCACAACAAGACATTCCCAAGTGGCCGGGATATCATCTGCGAAAATTGTACTAATAATGAATCTTTCTTTGGCTTCGGTGTCCTCATCGTAGGGTTCTGCCTCATTGTCCTCGTTTGTTGCCTGCCGTGTCGCGGCCGTTGCTTCTGGAAAGCTGCTGGGCTGCGTCTGGAATCTGAAATACAGCTGGGCTCGAGGGCACACATGTGTAAAAAGCACTCATGATTGTTGCCGCTGGCCTCTACCATGTCCGCAGTTTCCTTGGTGAAGGGCAGGCTGGAGAGGTCTCCAACTTCAGAATTGATGTAACCTTGCCTACCATTGTCTCCTCGGTTGGCTTCATTCCCATGAGCAACGATGAAGGGTCGTGGATAGCACGCACAAGCAGCTGCTGCAAAGTCACATCTTCTTGGTCTTCCGAGGTGTTCTCTCGTCTTTCACCTATTGACTCCGATCTCTCTGCCTGCGCAAACACTGGGTGCCACTACTCAAAGCCATCTGGAAATGGCAAGCATGGAGTGGATTTCTGCACCATATTGGTTTGCATTCATTCTCCTTCTTGCCCTGCTAAACAGCAAATATGATACTAACTCTTCATTTCCAATGTCCGGTCCGGCAGGAATTGCATGGCGGACTTTGCGCGCAGCAATGGCTCAAGTAATTGCTTATAGCGGCCGTCACCCCTTGACCTTCGGTGAACTGCAGATGCCCTGAGGCAAGCAGCCCGAAAGAGGTGAATGTCAGTCTATGCCTTCAATCCTGCACCCCCCAATTGCGCCAAACTTTTTGCACTTTTTTAGATCTCTGCACCTTCCTGTCATTTTTTGTGCGCCATCAATGTGTGGCCATCAATCGCATGTGTCATGCTGCTGCAATGATTTGTATGCGGATTTGAGCACTAAGTAACTGCGGAGACATGCACTGAGTACGGGCTCCCATGGAGTGCATTACCTTGCCACGCATACACATGTACGGAAGGACGGGAGGATTGTTAAAGGCATGCGCCTTCCTGCGCGTTAGTTCCTTTCGCCTGTGGATTCAAGACCAATTCTGACTGCAGTCTTTTGAATCTAAAGCGCGTAGCCAATGACTCTTCTGTCAACCTACCCAAATATTTCTATCTGCCACTTCATCCTGGCTTAAACCTCGGTCATGAATCCAGATACCGAGGCACAGCACGCAGAACGTCAGACGGCCTTCGAGCACGTGGCACCTGAGATGGAGCTGCGGTCCCGAAAACGAGGCTATTTGCACTCGGAGTAGCTAATGGCTTAGCCTAGAAGATCACCCCTGCACCAACCCAGGCTGCATGATCCAACCTCAACCACTTCCATTCTAGTGAATCTAGTTAAAAGCTCTAAGCAGAGCCAGGGACCAAAGACGCACTGAATCATGCATATTAGTGAGCACCTTTCTTGGCAAACGGGAGATTGACCAATCCTCAAACTTTGTCCCGCGGCACCGACACCACAAAGCCATCCAAGTTTGAGCATGATGCCTCCGCTGGCGTCATGGCCTCAGCTGAGAAAACAGCCATTGCCATAGGCTCTAGGCAAACAGGCTTTGGCAGTGCACCTTGCTGAAGAGCCAATGTCGGAGTCGAGGGGCCAGGCATCGTCTTGCCGGAGCCCAAGGAGCCCAAGGAGCCCAAGTCGGTGCCTTCAGGTTGGCTCGTGGAAAACAAGCCCAGTCTGTGGTCACTTGAAACTTCTGTCTGCTTTCCGAAGAAAGTCAAGCAAAACTGCCTGAAACCGGAGCTCGAGCCCTTCAGCATGAAAACGCACATGAATCATTGCGAAAAGGTGGGATATCGCAATCAGCTGGAAGACCTAGGACAGTGTAGAGTGTAGGCTCCTGAATGTTTTCGGGCTGGTATTGATACTCTGAGATTTGTGGGTTTGAGGAAAAGCTTTGTGGGACTTCGAGGTCATGGTGGCCCAAAAGCTGGTGCTCCTTCAACTTTCAACACCAGGCCAGACGCCCATTCTCCTTCTGCAAGTCCTGCTCTTCATGGTTCGGTCCATAAGTCCACTGCCAAGGTACTGTACAGAAAGTCAAGCTATGAGCTCCTATGAGCTCTAATGAAACAAAAAGCGCGCTAAAGTGTCTACAACGTACTTTCAGAGTTTTTCTTTTCAGGGCTTCATCTAAACATCTAAAGGATTGCAAGATACCCTCTAAACCAGTTCTACAAACCATGTTCCAAAAGCTTGACTTGCCTGCCTTCACCGTAGAAGTTAGCCAGCTGTAAATTAGCAGTTCTGGCTGCCGAATGCTGCAAAGTCCCCTTTCCCCTGACCCGCAGAGTTCTCAAGCCAGGCACCTCGACATTGCAGGCCAAAGCCTAGGAGAGGAAAAGCTTCGCATTCATCCGACATATCAAGACAGGAAGCCCCCAAATAGTACCAAATTAGCTTCTTCTCAGGCCTCAAAATTCTCATGCCAGTAAAATCCTGATCCCTAGCTTACGTGACATGTATGTCACAGCTTGACGTACTGCATGTGCTCTTGGAACAAACGTTATGATGCTTTGAGCATGGATGCTCTGGTCAGCGTATGCTCTTGGAACACAAACGTCATTGTGCTTTGGCTGGGAAAGGATGCTCTGGCATAAGTCTTGCAAAATCTAATTTCACGTGTTGGGCCAATAAACATATACTCGTCAAAAGCTGTGAAATTCACTAAATTTCCATGTCACGTTTTGAGCCACAGGCCTGAAGCTGTAAAAAGCTACGAAACCCTGCAACTGCAACTCAAGGAAAACCAGACCTTAAGAAACGTACGCAATGTATTGCAAATGCCAGCACATAAAAATTCAAAAGAAAGCAAACTCCCAACCCCCAACTGAAGGAGGAAAACAAGTAAACAGTGTTGTCTGTAGACATGCAATGCTGCACATGCCAACGAAGATGCATGGCAGCAGTCGTATTCAGCCAAGGGACCAAAAAAATAGACAGTGATTAAATACCAAAAGTAGGCCTAGTAGTAGTGGTAGTAGCCCATGCAGAATAAGAGCAGAAATAGGAATACATGTAACAGTCGTAATCATCATAATAGTGATAGTGGTCGTAGTCGTTGTAGTGGTCATTGTCGTGGGGGTAATTGTTGTTTCTGTCGCTTTTGATATTGCAGATGTTGTCATGGAATACTAGTAATACTAGTAGTAGTAGTAGTAGTAATAATAATAATGATAATAGTAGTCATAGTAACAGTCATAGTAATAGTAATGGCAATTAAGAGTAATAGCAAGAGTAAAAGTGATAGTGGTAGCAACAGTGATAGTATGAGGAGGAGGCGTGTTAGTAGTACCAGTAGCAGTAAACAGAGCAATGCAAGCTCGAAAGCAAGCCAGAAGCCAAGAACCCACCCGCCACAAAACCAAGGAAGAGCAAGAAGGCAAGAAGCCACAACACATGGAAAAAACGACCTCCGAAAGCCAAGGAGTCACAAAAACGTCCCAGAGGCCAGGAGCCCCAGAAGCCTACTGCCTCGAGATAAACAAAACATAAAAATCAGGCTGCCATCAAGAAACCTCAGTGAGTTTCATGCTTCAACCGACGGCTCCCCGTCCAGGATATTGAATCAATCAATGAAGCCTCCTCTATCTCCTGCTTACATTACATCATATTGTGGAGAGCCATGTATGCTAAAAGCGGCCGGAATGGGGCAGTTTTTCTTTCCAACGACAACTGAAAGAACAGCACAAATCACCATCTGCGTCTGCCCTCTTTAGGGCATCCTCTCATGAAAATCCCCAGGCGTGTGACCGGCCGCTGCCTTACGCATTGCACACATCAAATGGGGCAGTCTAGGACCCACGCCCGCATGGGAGCTGCCGAGGATGCAGCTCGCGGGTGTGGCTGAGGGCTGGAACTCTGGCTTGGAATCTTAGAGATGCTGGCCTGATGGTGTGGGTTGTAGGTCTTGTTCGGCCTTTGGCTTTCTCAACTTGTGTTCTGGCATCTGTAAGTCCATGTTGCTGTGGGCAGGTACTAAGCTGCTAAGGTATTCACTGAAGGATGTCAAGCTGCAAAGCTGTCCTGCGGCCATCCATCCAACTCAGCAGCAACCCAAACTGACTGCGAAAGAGCGTTTCCTTGCATCTTCAGCTTCTGTAAGCAATCGCAGCTTGCAAGCGCCAAGCGATGCAGCAGAGCCAATCTTTCAACGCGCAGGTCTGCGCTTTGGGCAGCAGACCCTGTCCCTGCAAGGGGCCAGACTCTGGGTGTCACAAGTTGGCCGCAATGTTGTTCAAATCTTCTCTGTATCTGCTGAATCTAGGTTTGCACCAACTTGGGTATGTCATAGTGTGCGGGAGGACGACGCCAGAAGAGGCCACCTTCAACAGGCAAAAGCCCCAAGAAACTTCTCCAAGCCTTAAAATTTGTTGTGCTCCACCAAAACAGAGTCACTCAACCCAGGAGGCCCAAGGCCGGAGCACCAGAGATGGAACCTGCGCCAATAAGGGGTGACACCTGTACAGGGGCTTCCCAGACCTGCCAGTTTTAGCAGCCTTGCTTGCCCGAAAATCGCAGCTGGAAGACCATTTCTTGGCTTGTTGCCTTGCCAGGGGTGCAAAGGCACTTGTGCAGCCACTCCAAATGCCCGAGGGTTCGAGACATACATGTCGTGGATGCTTTCTGCACTGAGACATGCGGCATGCGGTAGGCGGGTGCCCGTTGCTTGCCTGAGTCACTCCTCAGCAGGTTGCGCATCGAAGGCTTTGGGCGCCTGCCCGAGGTCTGCGCAGACGTGTAACGCACGAATCCTAAACTCCATGCACGGATCTGCAAGCCTAGTCCTTGAATCAAAACTGGTATTGCACCCAAGTCCAGCGCACGTGAACTTTTGAAAGACTGCATTAGCCAACAGCTCCCGGAAGCCTTTTTGGGCTCTTGCCGCACTGGCACTTTTGCGCCCTCCTTTGTCGCAAGCCAGGTGCTTAGGATTGGCAAGGAACCTTCACTGATTTTTGTTGTGGCATGGTGTGGCCATGTTGGGTAATGGCTACCGCAACTAGCAAATGGAAATGCTCAAAGCACACACATTTGCAAGAGTCCTTTGGCGTGAGATTCGCCATCTCCTTTTTCGTGGCATCCTCCTTGGTGCAATCACCGTGACATCTGCTCCGCAGCCCATCCACGGACAGTTAGATTGGCATGGAAAAGGATAGATCCGCAGAAGGGCTGGCCTCTTGCTTTCGAAGCCCGCCGATTTCCTGCGCTTGGCCCTTGATCGCCAGCTGAATCTCCTGTAGGTCAGGAGATGCTTTAAGCCAACGCATCTCATGCTCTGTCTTATCTGTCCATCATGTAGGAAGTAAGGCTGTTTTCCTGAAACAGCTGCGTTGGATACCACACTGCTTTACAAAGCTTGTAGCGTTGGGGGGATTTGGTCAGATCATGGTTTCCATTGCCTCGGCGCTGAGAGTCTCGTACTCAATCAGCGCCTGCGACAAGAATTGCAGGTAAGGTGACCTCCAGCTATTCAGCCACAGCTTACTCATCTAGGACTGAACACAGATCTCTGCAAGTCTACCACGGAATTCGGACCCAACAACCCCTGAAGTTCCAGTGTCTGGCTCAGCTGCCTTGGCCAAGTTGTGAAGTTCATCACGGTGTGTCCTGCGAACTGGAATGCACCAGATGGATGGATTTGGGTTTAGAAACCAAAACTGAACTCAGCGCAATACTTGTGGCCTTGCTGGCTCAGTTTCAGTAGCTTCTAGCAAGCGTGCGCAAGAGACGTCTTTTGCTGCTAGACATCCATGATCGAAACAAGTCCTCTATCCAGCCCTGTAAGGATTGGATTTACAACACCTGACAGGCCTTCTCAAGCCTTTGCAGGTAAACGCCGAACCTTTCCCGAAAGCCCAAGCCAGCCTCAGATATTCCGAGGCCTTCTGATAGGCATCGTTCCTCGGCTCAGAAACACGTTCGGCTCTGAATGCAGATTTGACGGCCCACAAGTAATATGATATCGCTAAGCGGCAGAAGCGATTGAGTCTTGTTATCGATGACCTGTTTGGCCTCTGCTTTGCATGGGCAGCCAGAGAGGAAAAGCCGGAAAAAGCAGGCATTATCCACGTCGGACTGTTGGATGTCACCAGATCCCACTCGCATCCCATGGCATCCAATGGCCTCATCGGAGAGCACAGCATACTCATCCACGTCCAAAGAGAGGAGCCCGGCCTGGTGACACTGGTGACCCCTCATGCAATTTTTCTTGAAATTCTGACAAAGCAAGAAATGACGCGTGGCATCGCGTGGCTGTGGCTGCAGGCTTAAGTCAGGACCTGAATCTCTTGAAGTTAGCCCCCCTGCCTCCTTGCCACCAGCCATGCCAAAGTTCATCACCATTCGCCGGGCCAGGCCGGTAGCCTGACCGGTGGCTGTTCAGCTGCGCGACAGGAGTGTTCAGTTCCAGAGCATCGCCAGATTGAAGGTCCGCCAGTCTTGCAATGATCCGAAATCTTCCGAACAAAATCCCACAACCTGAACTGCCAGTCTCAGAGCCTCTGAGCTAATAGTCATTGCTGAGCATCCTTCATGCTGCCACTCAACATGATACAAGGAGATTATGCGTCCATGTTGTGAACCGGGCTGGTCAGGGATGTCAGCTTAGGGAGCTGCTCAGGGGCCATTGTGGTGAGTTTCCTTCACAGAAAGCTTGTCCACATTTGCACGCTGGAGATGCCGAATCGAAACCTCATAGCAGCATCTTGAAAATTAATGGACGCCCGGAGGATTCCTTTGGAGTACTTCTTGGGCACGCCAGGAACATCATGCGTGACGGACAGGCCGACAGGCCGGTTGAGGGGACACCTCCTTGCGGACTTGTACAGCAGTTGACCTGGCCATTCTTCGTAAGCATGCGTGCATTAACAGCCACGAACCTGCGGCAAGCTCCGGCAGAAACTCTGGAAGGTGCCATTCCCCCAAGACGAAGAAAAACCATTCAGCGGACAAGCCTAGACATGAAAGACACAAAAAAACCGACCTGCAAGTTCGGGGCAAAATCAAAGAAAGGAAACTGATCTAGAAATGGAGCCTTCGTTTCTGTGTCGCCCTTCATCTGAAGGGCTGGGTCAAATCATTGCAGTACTCGATGCAACTGTAGTCTGTGAGTGGAAATGCAGGGTCTGCCGGCTCTCAACGTCTCTGCCTCAGTCCGAACAACAGTGGTCTACGGGTTTGTTGGTAGTATCATGAAATTTGGGAAAGCAAATTGACTTCAAGTGTACCGTTTGAGTAAAGCTAGTCAGCCTCAGAATTCAGAGTCAAATGAAGGCATGATTTCGTGAGGAATGGTGGAGGCAACCTGCAGCCCTGCCGGAGCTTGCGCTCAACGTTCTAATAGCATGAGCAAAACGCTCATCGAAGCAGGCTTCAAACAGACCCCACACATTTCTGAGAGCTCTGATGTCAACTATTTGCTGGCAGCAAATACTAATCAAAGAGCTTAGTGGGTTGGCATTGCTCCTCAAAACCATCATTTACTATTGCAGAGAGTTGTACGAAGCCATGCCACGACCACCGAATCAAAGAAAAGTGCAGCTTTGGCACTTCTGCTTGAAGTTGGGTGGGCTTGAAAGTCAGGTCTGCAAGGGCGGGGCATGAAGACATGTTTCAGGCGTGTGGTCCTAACAATGCTCATTTGAGATGTCGAGCTCCCAACCAGCGCAGCACAGACATCAAGGGAGGTTCGTCGTTGTCAAAAAACTCTACCTTTCTGCCTCCATCACATGATAAGACAGTCCCCGGCGGCCATGTTCAGCTCACACACCAGCCAACTGCAAACTCTGGACAACAGGATGCACAGGTTTAATTGCAGCTAGTTTCACAGCCGCTTTGTTGTGGGCCAGTTTGCACTTGGCTAGTAAGGGTTCTGCCTCGTGTCCTTTTTCGGCTTCCAGGCCCGGAATATTTCTCTACGAGCTGGAGGCAGTCCAGTCATGAGATATTGCGAGTCTATGCAGAACTCACAGACGTAGTGTCACCATTGGCACCTCAGTGGCAGAAGACGAAGAGCACACTGCTCTGGAGCTTTACACTTCTGCTGGTGCTTGTTTAGTGAATCAGAATGCGCATGATCCTTCCGCAAGGCAGACCGCCCGAGACTTAAGCCATGTGCAAAGGCATGAATGCTGGCATTCTATGAAATAAGCTCAACTCGACTTGAAACCCTCATCTGCCATGACGGAGTGTTTACCAAGGCACTGCCAGAGTAGACGCTTGATGCTGCCCCAGGCCCTTTCTTTTTGCGGCCTCAGTTCCCGCTGATCGCATCAGCGAAATTCTGATGTTTCTGATTGCGCCAATCTTAAACTGCTTTGGTGCGGATCTAGCGCTACGGGCAGGCATTGCGTTGTAGCGGCTAGTGGGCACATTGGGTCAACAGCACCGCGCGGATTTGTTCTCAGAGGAATACACTCCAAAGACTATACTGGACTTCTGTCTGGTCACAGGGAAAGGCCCGCGGCTGAAATTCATCTACTGGTTTTTGTGCTCACGTGGATTTAGAGGCTCTGGGTATCAGACTAATGTTTAAAAAACCCTGAATCAGAACATGACGAATGATAGCGCAAGGCATGAATGTCAGCACTGGGAGGCTCACGCGGCTGGCGCGGGGTGATCTTTGCGATCCTTGCTGGGAAACAGCTGAGAACTGAGGGTGGGAAGCTAGTGAAATCTCACGTCGGGCTACTCCACACTCATCTAAATTACTTGCCAGGCTTCAACTTCTCGAGCTTGTCGAACTTGTCGACATTGCTGCTCACCTCCTGATGTGTGCAGCCAGTGAGTATTGCATCCTGGCCCTGAAGCCGAACGACGCGCGAACCCCAAACGTTCAGTCAGGCATAGTCAGGCATGGCATGGGCTTCGTCAGGAACAGGCCAGGCATGAATCGCGGAAGGAAGGCATTCACACAGACGCGGTCTTGGAAACAACCTTCAAGGTAAACTACCATCCCTGAAGACGCGGCTGCTGTGATTCAAGTGTCCTTAGGGCCTAATTTGAGCCTCCCCAATGAGAAAATCTGACTGGGCCGACTAACTTTAGCTAATTCTCACATCAAGGCTCATCTAATCTCTGGACCCTCTCTGACTAGCTCATGCTTGAGGAAGCCGTGCCTCGGGCCAAGGGCTGCTAGGCTGTGTTGAGCCACCATAGCCTGAGATCTGAGCAAATCAAAAGACTCGTTGCAGGGTGATTATGTTGTCATGCTACCGTGCTCGGCGTAGCCCTTTCAGCGAGACATGCAATGTGTCAATAAATAACAGCAATACATGGTGGCATAGTGGAACTCGTTGCATGCCAAACTGGCTCGCATGCACGAATTCAATCAGCCCATTCATCCGTGCAACGCTTCACCGTGTCAATGGTGATGGGATGGAGATTTGAAGGCTCCGTGATCCTTACTCTGACTTGCAGCCGCAGCTGCGAAAATGCGGGTGTTCGGTCCTACGTGTCTGCGTCTGTCAGGGGGGTGGGGGGGCGATTCAGGAGTCTCTCTTGCAGCAAGGGAGGAGATGCCAAGCTCATGGGAAGCCGGAATGCGTCAGTCCAAGGATCTGCATGCCACCTGCCATCCCCACATCACCCTCATTGAACTCCAGCTTCTCCTCGAAATTGAGACCTGCAAACTGGTCTGTTTGGCAGTCAGAAGGTCGTAGCATGCCGAAAGCCTGGAACACTGCACTTGGAAGAAAAACTCAAGAAACGCAGCAGCCGCAAACGCTGACCACTTCCCAACTTTGCCTTCCAAGAACTTGGCAAAGGACTTCTCGGAAGACTCTCGCAGGATGGCGACCTCAGTACTACTAGTCTGCAACCTTAAAGGGTTGTTTATAGATGTCGACCTTAAAGCGTACATGTCCTTCTGATCATGGTTCTACTCTTTCAATATTCCTTCTTGCTTTCATATCTATTTACTCCTTCGTCCTCACAGGGGCTACTGTTCGTCCTCACCCCTCCTGCCTTTCGGATTGGTTCCGTCGCATGCTTGGCCGAGGCATCTGCGGCATGCATTTTACTTGTGATACCAAGCCTCCGCCAATACCTGAGGATACCTGAGGGGTATCCCGCCGGGCTGTTCGAAACAGCCTCCGGCCATGCGGCTTGAAATTCATGGGTTCCTAATTTGGTGGTGCATTTGCAATGTTTTGTTCGTTTTGGCGCTTTTGGTGTCAAGTAAAGTTCTTGCTTCATGTCTATGCACCCCCTTTGGAGTGAACTCCGCTCGTTTGCCAACTCCGCATCTTAATGGAGACATGCTTGTGTAGGAGCCCGGAATGTCTGCGTTGAAAGCCAGCTGCTGTCATGTCCAGCAGTCTTCCTTGTTCTTTGCACGTGGCATTTGTTTCGATGCGTCATCTTGGCTGGGCGAATGAATTGCGAGTAAACCTGTGCATGTGCGCTGAGGGTCAAAAGAATTGTCAGGTGAGTATTCGTCATCACAATAGCTAGTTCTGTGATGCTATGGCTTTTGCACATTCTCTGCATCTTCCCTTCTCGGCGGAATGTTGCTCACAGCAGCCACAGCATGGTCCAAGCCTTTCGGCGTGGGGAGACCCGAAGCTTTAAGAGACCCCCAGAGTGAACTTTAAGCGCTAATTCTTGAAACCCTCCCTGCCAGATGCTCCAAGTGCTTTGGATAAGTATTTGTAGAGCAGATTGAGGGAGGGACCTCCTGTTTGGAGTACTCCCAACTTACCCCCCCTTTAAGGGGATCCATCAATGCCACACTCAAGACAGCCCACTTCTCGACACTTCTCAGGAACCGAAGCACTTCCCCTACAGATTCATTACGACCCTCACAAGGGTACTAACCGGTGAAACCGGCTGAGACACAGAGTTTGTGGTGGTCGTACCAAGCAATGCACTGGCAGCGAAAACTTGAAGGAACAAACAGTTTCGCTAATTTCCTCTTGCCCGAGTGTACCCTCGGCATCTGGAATGCCTGAACGGGGAACATGCAACAGTGAAAACAGAGAGACATTGGCTCAAAAAAGGCCACGACCTAAATCCCACGCTGAAGCTGCTCCAGACAATCTACAAGGTTGCCAAGCCACTAACGGCGAGAGACTGCAAACCCCCAGTTTTTGTTCCAGAACGTTGAGGCAGTGTGGGAAAGACGGGGGCATGACTTGACCTACTGTACATACCTTCAACCATTCCTGATTCGCCTTTGCGTGTTTGACAGCATCGAATCCTGCTGATCTAACGCACCTAGCACCCCAAAATCGCGAGTCACGCAACCAAAGGCCGGCTAACGCAGACAAAGTGGCAATGATGTTGGCCCGATTCAAGCGGGCGAAGCCGTACATGTCCTTCAGCTTCTGGCTTCTGACAGGAAAATGCTGAGCCTAACGGTGCAA